GATCCAGAGCCGGAGGAGGCCCCGCTGCTGCGACCACCAGCCCCGGGGCGAGCACGCCCCCAACACCGACGCCCAGTGGCCGCCCGCCCCGCTGCAGAAGACGCCCCTGTGCAGCTGCCCCAGGGACAAGACCGTCGGACGAGGCCGCTGCCGGCAACCCAGCATCGCCAGGTGGGACCTCCGTCGGCCGCCAGATTGGGGGTAGGAAGCAACCCAGGGCAAGAGGCCGGGAAATCCCCCCCTCCCCCAGTGGGCTTAGCATGTTTTGGGGGAGGACCCCCCGCTGAGCCGGTGGTGGGAACCACCCACCACCATTAGGGCCCTGGGTTGGGGTCCGGTGGAGAGGGAGGGGCCGGACCCCCCTACCCCACCCCGCAGTGCTGGACTAGGCCGCTGGGCCTGCTGAGAGTGCAGACTAGGCCCCCAGGCTGGGGGTTAACGCTTTGTCCCCCAGGGGAAAGGGGACGGAGACGGGTGGTATCCCGCCACACCTTCCCCAAGAGACACTGCATAGCCCCTCCCCGGGAGACACTACACAGCCCCTCCCCCAGGAGACACTGCATAGCGCCCTCCTGTTTTTTGGTTTGCATGCTGTTTTCAGCCTGCAATACCCCCCTCCCCCTCGTTTTTCAATGTTGAAAAACATCATGCAAACCAAAGCCCCTGGCTTGCATTAGGACAAACCATGCAGTGGACGAGGGGAACCAGGGCATGTAGTGGCTCCTGCTGTGATAGGAGACAGGTGGCCCATGCGCCCGACCCCTGGCTCCGCACTTGGCAGGCTTTGCTCCCCTCGGGGGCTCCTGCCTGCGACCCTGAGTCAATGGACCAAGGTGATATTCTCCAACGAGCCGGGGAGTATGTATGACAGGTGGGAGGGTAGCTTCGTGGGTACGTATAGGGGGCCTTTATTGCCCCTGCCCCCTTGGACTCATTCCAGGTGGACCAGGGATTTGAGAGCCATGTGTATCCCCCTCCAAAGGTGGGGGGAAAAGCCTTGGGGAGGGGGCTATTTGGCTAGTGGTCCAAGCAGGACTAGCTCTGCTAGGCAGAGAACTGGGAGAGCCGCCTGCCCAGCTAGGAGGGCTATAGTCATCTAGGAGGGGCTGACTATAAACATCGCAGTGATGCTGCAGCTAGCGGTCCCACTCACACCAGAGCCTGGCCACCATCCCCTTTGGGTTGGTTAGTGGCCTGCCCATCCCCAGGTTGTGCTGCTGGTCTCTGTGGCATGATTGTTATCACTCAGGAGAGGTTCCTCTTTGGCTTGGCGGTCCAGGAAACAAACTGGCCCCGGATCATTCGCAAATGGGCGAGGCCTGGCACTGGGGCTGGGGAACAAGGCTCAGCGCAGGGATGAGGCGTCTGGAAATCCACGTGAGTAGATCTGGCTGTTGTGTGCAGGGGGCTGAGCCCTGGCAGGGTGGTACAGTCACAGAGGTGTGTGTGTGTGTGTTTGGCTGCACTTTGTGTTCATGCAGCTTCTCATGCCGGTGTGGATTTGTGGTGTGGATCTCTGCTGGGTGCGTGCGTGTGTAGGAGCAGCGCACCCATCAGGTGCAGTTGCGGCTGTGTGTGTGGGTGCGGATAATCTGAGTGTAACAGCAACAGGCAGAACCAAACCTGGGACCACTGCCACTTCAGTCATTTCGCTGGCTCTTGGCCAAGGCTGTAGAGCAAACTCTCTCTCTCTAAGTGGACTCAGTGCCACAACACGGGCCAGTGAACCACACCCAGCAGGTGTGTGGGTTACACGAGCACTTATCTGCTGTGAGGACCAGCTTTCCTTGCCTTCTTCCTGCCCCAGGGACTCGCGTGTGACTGTATTTGTGCGGTGCCTGGCCAGACGCCTTCAGCTCCCTCCAGAGGTGGCTTCAGTTCTCCGTCAATGGTTCCTAAAGCTGAGATGCCATGTGGTACCCTCTTAGAACTGGCTGGCTGCTGTTGGCCAGATCCAATACCTAACTATTGTCTAGCCGTGTGGTTTGGCAGCTGTTCCTTCCCACAAAAGCGACTCCCTCTCCAGCTGCACGGCTGCTAGCTGGAAGGGGGAGACGGGGTGGAGGAAAGGAAAGTAGGACTGAACCCTGTCATGAGGAGGGAGGCTGCCGGCGCTGTTACAGGAGGCTGCTCTGCTGGGCTCCCAGCTCCTGGCATGAGCCCTCCTAGGAAGGTAATCCAGGGAAGTGCTCTGTGAAGCTTGGCTCTGCCGGACCCTTCAGCTGCAATTCTAGGGCCTGGCTGTTTCTCTGCAATGGGCTGGGGCCGTGCGCTCTCTTCCCCTGATTCCGGGAAGAGGGAAGTGGCTCTGCAGCTGTTTGTTCTGAGGAACTGACAGTCCCAGGAAAGCTGCCAAATCTCCAGCTAATGGATGAGCCCCTCTCAGCACCGGGAAGCCTTTCACACAGAGGGAGAGGAGTTCCTCCGGGCGCTGCCAGCGAGGAGAGAGCCGCGTGAGGGGATGCAGTTGAAAAAGGGAGCATTTACGCTGACGGGGGCAGGGCGGGCAGAATGGTGCAGTGTCTCTGCACAGCCCCACCCCCGGGGGCATTTCCAGCTAGTCGGGAGAGACCCGAGAAGATTGGGGGCAATGCTGGGAGCAATCCTGCCCTGCTGCCGGAAGATGCTCTGTGAAGTCTCCCCCATCTCTACATAGCCAATTAGACTTATGAGTCAGGGCCAAATAAGAATTTAAGACTGGTCATACTGGGTCAGACCAAAGGCCCATCTAGCCCAGTATCTTGTCTGCCGACAGTGGCCAATGCCAGATGCCCCAGAAGGAGTGAACAGAATGGGGAATCCTTACATGAAAAATTGGAGAAGGTCCAGAGAAGAGCAACAAAAAATTATTAAAGGTCGAGAAAACATGAGCTATGAGGGAAGACTGAAAGAACTGAGTTTATTTTGTTTAGAAAAGAGAAGATTGAGAGGGGACATGATAGCTGTTTTCAAGTATCTAAAAGGGTGTTTACAAGGAGGATGGAGAAAAATTGTTCTCCTTGGCTTCTGAGGATAGGACAAGAAGCAATAGGCTTAAATTGCAGCAAGGGAGGTTTAGGTTGGACATTAGGAAAAACTTCCTAACTGTCAGCGTGGTTAAGCACGGGAATAAATTGCCTAGGGAGGTTGTGGAATCTCCATCTCTGGAGATATTTAAGAGCAGGTTAGATGGACACCTGTCAGGGATGATCTAGGTATTGCTTGGTCCTGCCATGAGGGCAGGGGACTGGACTCGATGACTTCTAGAGGTCCCTTCCAGTTCTATGATTCTCTGATCTCTCTCCTGTCATTCATTTCCAGCCTCTGAGAAACAGAGGCAAGAGGCACCATTCCTACCCATCCCAGATAATAAGTACTAATGGACCTAACCTCCATGAATTTATCTACTTCGTTTTAAAACCCTGCTAATGCCCTGGTCTTCACAATGTACTCTGGCAAGGAGTTCCACAGGTTGATTGTGCACTGCATAAAGAAAAACTTCCTTTTGTTTGCTTTAAACTTGTTAGCTATTAATTTCATTTGGTGTCCCCTAGTTCTTATGTTATAGGAACAAGTAAATAACTTTTCCTTATTCACTTTTTTGCACCCATCATGATTTTATAGACCTCTATCACATCCCTCCTTAGTCTCCTCTTTTCTAAGCTAAAAAGTCACAGTCTTATTAATCTCACTTCATGTGGCGCCTGTTCCAAACACTTCATCATTTTTGTTGCCCTTTTCTGAACTCTTTCTAATGCCAAGATATCTTTTTTGAGCTGAGCGACTACATCTGTACGCAGTATTCAAGATGTAGGCATACTGTGGATTTATGTAGGGGCAAATATATTGTCTGTCTTGTTCTCTAAATGACTCCCAACCCCACAGCACCCCCAAGGTGCTCACCTTCTCCAGCAGTCAATGGGTCACCCTCACCTGGGGCACAGTGGGCAGTGCTGGTCACCCCTCTCCAAGAGGAGATGGCAGAATTAGGGGAGCTCCGAGGAGAGGTCTGGAAAACAGTCATGTGATGACAGCTTGACCAGACTGGGGAGGTTAACACAAAGGGTGTGTCTAGACTACATGGCTCCGTTGATGGAGCCATGTAGATGAGCTTTCTAGACATAGGGAAATGAAGCGGCGATTTAAATAATCGCTACTTCATTTACATCAAAATGGCCACTGTGCTGTGCCAATCAGCTCGTGGAATGAGGTTTACCGGGATGGTCGACAAAGGCTTCCGTTGTCGACCGCGGAACATCCAGACTACCATGCTGTGCCTCCAAACAGCTGATCGGCACAGCACGGCGGCCATTTTGATGTAAATGAAGTGGCGATTATTTAAATCGCCGCTTCATTTCCCTTTTTCGAGTACACTAATCTACGTGGCTCAGTCAACGGAGCCATGTAGTTTAGACGTACCCCTAGAGAAGGTAAGTAAGAAAGAACACGATAACATAAAATGATGTGAAATACTGGTCTAGAGAACAGAGACTGTGACCTTCTGTCCTGCTATGACATGCCGGGGTACAAGATCCAGATGCATGAGCTGCCCTACACCCTTGGGTGCCTTGCAATGCCTTGCTGAGGTAGCTCCCACCTGGGCATCTCACAACCAGACTTTCAGCCTGCAAGCCACACTCTGAGCATCTGTATGTGATTGCAGCCTGCTTGCCATACATTGATTATACTCTGGGACTTTGTCCCCACTATGAATTTTGCCGAAAGAAGCAATGCAAATGAAGCGCAGATTAGCATTTTCTCTTGCTTCATTTACATAACCTCTTTCGGTCCATTTTTGCGCAAGAGGTTTTTGCACAAAAACAAGCAGTGCAGCTGTGGCCGTTTTGCGCAAAAAACACTTTTTGCGGAAAAGGGCAAATATACTGCCCCATCTATACAAAGGGAAATAAGGACAACCCAGGGAATTACAGACCAGTCATCTTAACTTTGGTACCCAGAAAGAGAATGGAGCAAATAATTAAGCAACCAATTTGCAAACATCTAGGACATAATGGGTACGTCTAAACTATATGGCTCCGTCGACGGAGCCATGTAGATTTGTTTGTTCGTCAAAGGGAAATGAAGCCGCGATTTAAATAATCACGGCTTCATTTAAATGTAAATGGCTGCCGCACTGAGCCGACAAACAGCTGATCAGCTGTTTGTCGGCTCAGAGTGCTAGTCTGGACGCTCCCCCTGCCAAAATGAAAGCCCTTTATCGACCTCCCCGGTAAACCTCATCTTACGAGGCATAACGTAGGATCAGCTGTTTGTCGGCTCAGAGCAGCAGCCATTTAAGTTTAAATGAAGCTGCGATTATTTAAATCGCAGCTTCATTTCCCTTTGCCGATCAGCCTAATCTACATGGCTCCATCGATGGAGCCATGTAGTTTAGACACACCCAATAAGGAGATAAGTAACATTAAGCATGGATTTGCCAAGAACAAATCATCACAAACCAACCCAATTGCTTTCTTTATGGGGTGCCAAGCCTTGTGAATGGGGGAAACTGGCAGATGTGTTATATATTGACTTCAGTAAGACTTTTGTTATGGTATTGCATGACCTTCTCATAAACAGATGAAAGAAATAACACCTAGATGGAGCTACTACAAGGTGGGTACATAACTGGCTGGAAAACCATCCCCAGAGTGTAGTTTTCAGTGTTTCACAGTCAAGATAATAGGGCATAGTGAGTGGGGTCCCGCAGGGATCAGATCTGGTTCTGTTCTTATGAGTTCTTGGTGCCACCTTTCAGGAAAGATGTGAACAAACTGAAGAAAATCCAGAGAAGAGCAACACAAATGATTAAATGTCTAGAAAACATGATCTATGAGGGAAGATGAAAAAAACAAGTTTGTTTAGTCTGGAGAAGAGAAGACCGAGGAAGGACATGGTAACTGTTCTCAAGTCAATAAGAGGATATTACATGGACGAGAGAGAAAGTTTGTTCTTATTAACCTCTGAGGAGAGGATAAGAAGCAACAGACTTAAATTTCATCAGGAGTGGATTAGGTTGGACATTAGGAAAAAGATTTCTAACTGTCAGGATGGTTAAGCACTGGAATAAATTGCTAGAGAGAATGTGGAATCTCCATCATTGGAGATTTTAAAAGCAGGATAGACAAACACCTGTCGGAGTGGTCTAGACAATACTTGGTCCTGTCATGGGTGCAGGGTACTGGACTAGATGACCTCTTGAAGTCCCCTCCAGTCCTATGAGTCTATGATACTATGACCACTCAAATTAGGCTTAATCAATTTTCATCATAGGCTGTGTCTAGACTGGCAAGTTTTTCCACAAAATCAGCTGCTTTTGCAGAAAAACTTGCCAGCTGTCAACACTGGCCACTAGAATTTCTGCAAAAGCACTGACGATCTCATGTAAGATTGTCAGT